CTGCCAAGGTAAGAGTTGACAGCCAGTACACCGAAAATATCAAAATACAAAGAGGAGTCCGCCAGGGTTGCGTGCAGTTCCCACTATTTTCAATGTCTAGAGTGAAGCGGTATTTCAAGAAGAACTCTCAGACTCAAAAGAAGGTATATCTATTAATGGAGAAGTTTTAAATAACTTACGTTTTGCAGACAATACAGTAATAATTACGGATAACAACAATGATTTACAGGACGTAATTCAACGCCTTAATGAACGTTGTCATGAGTATGGACTGAAGATAAATTTAAAGAAAACTAAATGCATGATCATGACTAAATCTGCACATGCAAATATCCAATTAACTATTGAAGATACTGCAATTGAGAGTGTTAATAACTATAAATACTTAGGAACATGGATAACATCAGATGTAGACCAAACCAAAGAAATTAAGACACGTATTGAAATAGCATGTACATCATTTTTTAAAATTAAAAAGTTTCTTTGTTGTCGGGATATAAGGTTAGAACTACGCCTGAGAATGCTTCGATGTTACGTGTTCTCTACTCTTTTTATGGTTTGGAAGCTTGGACACTAAAACAAGTTCATCTGAATAAGTTGGCCACCTTTGGATTTTGGTGTTACAGAAGAATCCTACGAATATCATGGATTCAAAGAATGTCAAATATGGAAGTAACTAGAAGTAAGTATAGGAAATGAGGCGGAAATAATATTAACTATTAAAAGACGAAAACTTGAGTACTTGGGACATCTGATGAGAGGGCAAAAATACGCATTATTACAACTTATTCTGCAGGGCAAAATCCGAGAAAAGCGAAATGTGGAAAGACGAAGAATATCCTGGCTTAAGAACTTAAGGGAATGGTTTGAATGCAGTAGTGCAGAACTTTTTAAAGCGGCAGTCAACAGAGTCCGCATAACCATGATGATTTCCAACCTTCGATAGAAAATGGAACTTAAAGAAGAAGAAGATGTTTTATCCAACAAGTTAATTTATTTGCAAACATTTGATTATTAGTCAGGTAACACATATCTCTCCTAAACGACTAAAATTCTTCTTAATCAATTAAGATCTGGTGTACTTAAGATAGATGTGGGTTATACGTAAAAAATATTTCACGTCGTATTGTACAAATATCTACAATGCCAATGGACTTCTTTAAAATTTACAATTTACTATCCCTTGCCATCTATAGTGGTAGACCAGTGCTGAGCACCTGCAAAGGAAATAAGAGTAAGATATTTCTTCGTCATCAGATAGACGGCTTTTTAGGTTCTTAACTAATCCAAGTAGATGTAGCCATAATACTATGAATAACAAGATAGGATCTTCCCGTAGCACAAAATCGGTCGTGTTCGCGCATGCCGTCATTGGAGAGTAGAATTTGAGTTCTTGTTAAAGTTAAATGGGATTTGTATGCATTCTGTCATGAAATTACTAGACGAAAATAAGTTATGAGGTTCAATAATTACAATAATCGTACACATAAGGATATCTCCAAACTATTTATTAAAGAATATTTATTGACACATACAAAAAACTGACATTGGGAACGTGCAACTCTCCAATGACGTCACGACTTCTGCGCAATATCTTCTCTTCTTATCATAGTATCATGGATGTAGCTGTCGTCTGAGTCTACAATTTTCAGTTAACTTACTGACCGTTAAAGAGCATCTTCTACAGTTAGGTTAAGGAGTTAAGTTATGAGAATCTTGGAAAGCACCTATACACGTAACTTATAGTTATCTGCATACTAGTCAAGTGTCCTGGAACCTCTGTAAAATATGCTCTTTAATGAAATGCTAGAGTCCCTTTCGGGTTCTAGAGACAGAATAAACAAGTGTTGCCTTACAAAGATATTAACTTGCTTCTTCCGTAACGATCAAAGCATATAGACATATTTCTATCAAAACAAGCCCTAAAACCTTTTTTTTGAGTACAGATTAATATCGTGAAGGTCGCCTGAAAAAGTCTTTAGCAGCATCCCGCACCCATATGTAAACCAGATGAGCCCAGTCTGACAAAACTGCGCTGGTTTTTGATTTTTGTTTTAATTATTCGTTACTATTAAAGGAAATTGAACAAAAAGCAGACTGTGAACTCATAGTGGGCAGGTAGTCTATCATGCACCATAAAAATCATGCAATGACTAATTTGATTGGTTGATCCCAACCACATGGCTTTCTACTCTACAATAAATATAGAGGAGTTAAACTCAACTTAATTTCTAGGGTCGCTATTGGAGCAATTCTCATGGATCCTGAAAACCGTTAGTCGATGAATCAAATGCGTTAATTAGGCCTTGTTCAAAAACCTATTTAACTAAAGTTTCTTTATGACAGTTGCGTAAGTTTGTATAGAACACCATAGTCAAATAAATGTAGAATTTTTGACTGCAGATCCCATTTGGCCCAAGAAATCTTTTTGTACACACAAAGTACTGCATACAGCAAATTTTTTACCTCCTAGTCTGTTTCCCCTAGATACTTACTGACTTGTAGATATTTAAAGTTATTTCATATAAAACAAGCTCTTTAGTTGCTCCGATGGACCTCTGGCATGATAAGAAAACCACAACAGATATAATACACAATCCCTTAATCAACAACAATGTATTATCAGTGTAGACTTGTCCATAATACATGTAGTACATACTTACCTTGTTTAAACTATCGCTTAAGTAGGCCTTGGAATATAAAGCACCATAGCAAAATATTTGGTAATTATTAGATTGAGCATTGTGCGCTCTATATATGTGCAACCTGGACAACAAAAATGTCTTATATGTAAAAATATTAATAAAATAAAAGCATTTGGGTTTTGGTGCTACTGTCAAATGCTCAGAAACCCGTGGACACTACACATATCTAACGAAGGTCTGCTAGAGACTATGCAAAAATATCGAGAATTTATTAACATTATCAAAATGAAAAAGGTCCAATACTTCGATCAGAAAATGTGGGGACCTAGATATCGCTTACTTCCGTTGATTTTTTAGAGCAAAATCGAAGGAAAACTGTAGATCACAAGAAAACCGTACATATAGCATTAGACAATAGACATAACGAACGGTCGAGAAAATGTTTCATCTAGCTGCAGCGAGAAAGATTTCATCAGATTGTTAATACGACGATGGTCAACGCTTGAAAACGAGCATAGCACACAAAGAAAAAGATGGTGTAGTTGTGCAGGTGTGTATTTTGTATTCATGTGTGCGAGTACGCACGTATGGTCATGTATCGAACTAAAACGTACTGCTCCGGTATTCACTGATCGTTAATTATTATCCTTTTTATTACTTGTGACAGATTAAAATCTCACTAGAAACTATTTCAATCTTTTAATAGAAAACGTTTCGTGCAGTATTTCTGCACTTATTCAGTTCTAATGATTGTAAAGTCATATATAGATGTCAAACAATGTCAAATGCATATGTTGAGATGTTATAAAATACATTAAATAAATACAATATAAGTTATGGTAAAAAATTGCATTCAGAATTTTATTTAAAATTTATACAAACAGTGAAAAGTTATAAAATATCAAAATATGTTAACAAGAACAGTATAATATAATACAACACTTCTATTCTATCGCTGATGTAAAATATCTCGAAACATGAAGCCAGGAGAAAAAGTACCTTGTTTTTATTGAGCTCAGTGAACAATTTGAAAAACCTATTTTTATTGAAAAAAGCATGGAAGTTAACTTTATTGTTAGATACACCAAAGTAATATATATGTATATATATATATATATATATATATATATATATATATATATATATATATATATATATATATTCGGTTTTTTAGGTGTAGGGATGATCGGGATGATCGAACGGTAGGGATCTCCTCCATAGATCCCTACCGTCCGGTAGGGATCTATGGAGGAGTATCACCGAGCCGCAAGCCCTTATCTCTTGCTGTACTGCTCCACCATAGGCCGATCAGATCCCAGCATATTCTAGTCTAAGCCGCAGATTCATCTAGAATTTTAAACTGCTGCGTTAGACTTTTTGTTTTCTGTACACCGAGCTGGGGCTCGATCCGACATCCACTGAACCATTCGACAGTGAAGCGAATGAGAGGCAGCCGCTGAGCTATCTGACCGACGACCCCTAAGTTAACTTAGGTACTAAATCTTTTTATGAAACAAAATGGTTTTTGAGATAATGAGTGATTTAAAAAAAATGATATGTTACAGTTTTCTTCAAAAAATAGTTAAAATCTATATAAAATAATTTAAAGATACAACATATTGTTACCTTTTGGCAGGTGGAACACCGCTTGCATATCAAAACATGCGACTAACAAGTTCTCGCTACACTTTTTTTGTCGCTTTCCTCTTCAGTTCTGGATAATATTTTTCTTCTTGATGTTTTTGATATTCACCCTCGAGATTTATTTTTTCAGCTTCGCTGGCGTTATTAAATAAGAAGCTAAGGTTGCATTGATCCTTTTTCGGGACAAAGAAGGACATATTAAATTCTGTGTTAAGAATGTCAGAATACATATCGTAGTTTCCAAGAGGTTTATTGGCTTCCTTACATTGGTTAACATAATCCCTATGTAAATCTGCAACAGTTTTACCGTCTTCGACAAAATCTCTAGTAGTCTGTGCCCTTAAGTAGTGGCTTTCAATTTTCGGAATTGACTGAATATGTTCTCGGATGTCATTTTATATATTGGAATCTACTTTACGATGTTTACCAAGCTTTCCTACCTTTACCATTTGGTACCTGGAGTTTGGTTATATAGTTTTCATATTTCGATTTATAAATTCTCTTTTTTTGTTAATATCATTCAAGCTATAAAACTCATTCAAAATATGCACTCTCTCATCTTGTTCGATTTTCTTGCTACATTTGAATCTGCATTTATCAGTACATGCAGCCTGTACGTTTCTGGATGGTATAACCTTTTTGGAGTTGAACATGTTCAGTTGTAGGAAACGATTCTATATTTTGTTTAACAACATCGGAATCAATGACTTTTTAAAGATTTTTAAATGCTAAATAGCCTTCTTCATTTTCTTTCACATGTTTGCTTTTCCCTAAATGTTTTGTCTCGTCAGAATCAATATTAGCAGTATTTGCCACAGAATCTATATCCTTTTTGCTTGAATAAGGAAACGATGATGATGACTCTACTTGTTTCACTTGAAACGGAATTTCTTCCCTGCAATTATTTTCTATTTCGGTAATTCCGTTATTTTGATCGCTGCATAGGGATTCACTTTCCACAAGATCTTTCATCATGTCTGAATCACTATTATTAAGATTTGCTACATTGAGACCTGTATTATTTTTATATGGAGACGGTAATAAGTACTCTTCTGGTTTCTTCTTAAAATTAATTTTTTTCAAGCAACCATTTTCTACTTCTTTGATTAGCTTATTTAGATCGCTGCATAGCGCAGCCTGCACGACTTGTTCTTGAACTTATTTAATCTGTAAAAACAAAATACACTGTTGACTAGCAAAGAAAAGTACATATCTGATGTATTATAGAACAAATCTGTTTGCTTGCATATTTATCAAATTCCAAAATTAACTGTAAGCATTCATCGAGCTGACCGGGATCTGTTTTTGCCCCAAATCACAATTTTTGGCTGTTACTTTATAAATATTAATTTTTAATCAGCATTCTTTCATCTGTCTGTAGTTTATAATATCTTATTCATATAAAAATTTGCATACAAGACCCTTTAACGGTTAGATTAAATTTTAACTTCAGTTTATAACCTGGGGTTTCCCCGGTCAGCCTTTTATGTCAAATAAAATGCATTCTAATAAAGTTTCAGTACCGACTGTGAGCGTACTATCGTTTTACCTTACGAATTTACATGTTTAAATGGGGAATTCTCCATTGATGTAGTAGGTATTAATTCCTATAAATTGTGGCTACTAAAATATACTGATTGAAGAAGCACGATTTGTGCTTTTCCAATAGAACTATACCATTATTACATTATTATAATACATAAAATAAATAGATTTTTCAGAACTCACCGAAGAAAATAGTATTATCTAAAAATACCACACTTTTCGGCGGAAGTCAAGTGATAAAACTGAAAGATATTCCGATGATCAGAGTAAAAAATCGAAATATTACGGTCTTCCTCGGAAAACGCGAAATAAAAGTGTAAACTCTTCAAAACTAAACAGCAATAACTACAAATATTACTTTTTTCGCCGAATGTAAAGTGGAAATATTGGCAGATATTCCGATAAGAGTAGCAACACGAAATGTTACACTTTTATCGGGAGAAAATGAAACTAAAGTTTACAGCAGCTCTAAAATAGACAGTAATAACTACACTTATTAAACTTTTGATCGGTAATACAGCGGAGTGCCGCAGTGCATACCACGATAACTGCGTTTTATTACTGTTTTCATCGGAATATGCCGATGAACCTGTTCCGAAGAATAGTGATTATTTTCGAGAACTTCAATTATCTTTTCTTGCTTTACGTTATCGAATGCTTTTGCGTAGTCTATAAAGCATATGTACACGTCTTTGTTCATATCTCTGCAGCGCTGGATGAGTACCTGTCGACTAAAAAGTGCTTCTCTTGTCCCAAAAGAATTGCCTCGCATTTTTTGCTTATTCTGTTGTAAATAACCTTGGTGTATGCCTTCGACATGTGGTTAATTAGACTTATCATCCGATGTTGATCACAAGACTTTGCTTTCACTATATATATATATATATATATATATATATATATATATATATATATATATATATATATATATATTTTGTAGTACGTATCTCGAATAATTGCAAAAGTTTTCTGAGTATACTACATGATATTTTATATATTTAATAACTTCATTTGGCTTTCAGTTTTAAAATTTGGAAGATTTTAATATTTTGCTTTAACGTTCCGCGGTCGTCTCAGTTGTTTTATTACATCTTATTCTCTTAACTTTATTACGACTTCAAAAATATACTAAATATTCTTTATATTGTTTTATTTATTAGCTTTAGTTTATTTTTTGCAGTTTACGATTTAGAAATACTGAATCTTATATATTTATTATACAATTTACTAGTTTTTAAGCTTACAGTTTAATATGCTTGTAGCTTTTATAATTTTATAATAAACCTGATATGCTTATCTTAGGCATTTTTTTTCTGTACACCCCTTTGTTTCCGTATTTGGAGATTTCTCAACGCAATAATAATTTATGGGACTTTGTAAGTACAATATTGCATAATAAGGCAAATATATGAATATTCAAAATTATGCATCTATTTTACTTTGTATAATAAGTTTATTCAAAGAGTGATGTTGAATTGTGTGGATGCTCGTGCCACAAAATTTTTGGGAGCAGGACCGAACCATGACTCGTACGAATCTTAAAGATAATTGTGTTTAAGACTTCAATAAAATAAAGAAATTATTAATTTTATTCTAATAATAACGGTATGGGAACTCAAGAAGCTTTTTTTTTTTTTAATTAGTTTGATGGCCTTGGCCGAGCCAATTAGCCAGACAAATTTAAAGACAAACAATTTTAACAATCAGAGGAATTTTTTACAATCAGAGGAATAAACATACAATCATCCGTACAATCTAACATGCAATTTTTAATAATATACATAATATATTTTTAATAAATTACAACTTGTTTTTTTTTCCTGCGCTAAGACATAACCCGATTCAACATCTCGGAGGTTTACATCTTCCTTTTTATTTTTTAATTCTTTTTTTTTTTTATTTTTTTTTTATAATTTTTTTTTTAATTTTTTTTATATATATATTTTTTTCTGCTATAACACAATATTTACTTATATATAAGGGTTAGATTTAAGCTACAATTTATATTTACAGTTTTTGATATGTTCGTAAATCGTTTTTAATATATTGATATCTCTAGAGAAAATCAAATTGTTTAGGTAGACGGGAAGTGGAATTTTTAATATAATAAGATTATTATAAAATTTGTTTATGTTTACTGATTCGTGGGAACATTCAAGGAAAATATGTAATAGGTTACCTTCTTTTCCGCACTTGCAATTAGGTGACTCCGCGAGACCCAACTTGTACATATGAAGGGGGGTAAGAGCATGATTAGATCTTAATCTGTTTATAACCCTTATGAAATGGCGGTTTGATATAGTATGAAACCATCTTTTTATAGGTATTTCAGGCTGCATTTGTTTGTAATTATTTCCAGTTCTCGTGTTTTGATAATATGTTTGCCATTTTTCTTTTTGATGCCGTTTACTAATTATATCAATGTCTGAAATGGGGAGTAAGTTCAAGGGGGCTTCCTCGCCTATGTCTAGGGCGGATTTGGCTAGGCTATCTGCTATTTCATTGCCCTTAATGCCCGCGTGTCCCTTTATCCATGATATAATAATGTTTTTCCCTAAATTTGTAATTTTATTGTAAATAGTCATAATTTCTAGTTCTATATGATTTAGTTGTTTGGACCTATGTATGTTTGTTAGTCTGTCGACTACACTCTTACTGTCTGTAAATATTATGCAGTTGTAGGGTTCGTTAATATGTATATGCCTTAATGCAAAAAGAATCGCTGTCATTTCAGCAGTGTATATCGATGATTCAGCTGGCAATTTCAATAATTTTTTAAATCCACTTTGAGTATTAATTAATGCACATCCTACTTTGTTTTGTACTTTAGATCCGTCTGTAAAGTAAAACTGATAATTTGGCCATTTATGCCGTGTAAATGATTGAAAAGCGACTGGATTTAAATTACCCTCCATAAAAAAGGTATTGATATGTTTTGAGAAAAGCTCTTCTAATATATTGGAATACATAGGTGAAACTTGGTTTTCATACGTATAGAAAGTATGTCGGTATTGAGATATCCTCAAGTAACTATTTACCAGAAGAGAACATTTTTTCTTTGTCCAATATTTATGTATCAAGAAGCTTTGTTCAGTTTCATTGTTCTCATGCAAAAGTGCGGGGATAAACAAAAAGATGTCTACTTGTGCTTTATAGAATATGAAAAGGCTTTTGACAAAGTCAAACACGATCAGCTAATAGAATGCTTGCAAAAAAAGAACCAGGATCCAAACGACATTAATACAATACGGGAACTCTACTGGAACCAAAACGCCTCTGTCAGAACTGAAACGGGTGATACTGAAACCATGAACATCCAAATATGAGTTAGACAAGAAGCACAAGAAGGAATAAAAGTCAATGGAAAAATCGTGAACAATATCAGGTATGCCGATGATACAGTAATTTAACAGTAAGTTAACAATTCTGTTAACCAAAGTAGTACCAGAAGGAGAACTATACGGCCTTTAAGGTAAATAAACATACTAGTCAACAACAATCTAGTTGAAAAAATAAAAAAGTTTAAGTATTTAGGCTGTTGGATACATGAAATCTTAGACCAAGAACAAGAGGTTAAATGTGGAATAGAACAGGCAAGAAACATCTTCTTAAAGATGCGACAGTTACTTACTAACCGTAATCTTGATTTGTCCCTACGATATCGCATGATAAAGTGTTATGGATATAGTGTACTATTACACGGCGCGGAAGCCTGAACATTAACAGTCAGCTTGTTACGACGTTTAGGGAGCTTTGAGGTGTGAGTATTTCGTCGTATGCTGAAAATTCCATGGACCGACCGCGTTAGAAATGAAGAAGTTTTAAGGCGTATGAATAGAGAACGTGAACTCATAGAAGTTGTCCAGAAGCGTAAAACGTCTTATCTTGGACATATATTTAGACACGATGGGTATAACTTCCTCCAGCTTATCATAAAAGGAAAAATAGAAGGCAGACGCGGCTCGGGTAAACAACAAATGACCTGGCTGCGTAACATCAAAGATTGGACAGAATTAAACTTTTAAAGTTTAATAAGAAAAGCTTAAACTAGGGAAGACTTTGCAGAGGTCATCGCCAATCTTCGCTAAGAAGACAGCACCCAAAGAAGAATTTTAATGTAAGCTTAGTTCTAATACAATGCGGAATTATCTAAAAACCCAAAAATTCCAGTTTGTTAGATAATATTCCAGTGGAGTAGATATATTTAAACAATATTTAAACAAAATTCATTATCATTGCAGGCACACAGACGCATATAGAAAATATTAAACTAACAATGAAAAATTGTAAAGGATATAGGCCCTTTATTGTATGTTTTAGCCAATACGTTTGTATCCAACGTATTACACCAGAAAACCTTCTCATCTTAAGATGTTAGAACGTCTTTCGACGTTGTCCGATACCTAAACACCATCTCTTCCTATCTT